AAACATATCAAAATCAGTCACTGGCAATTTCAAATTTAAAAGAGAAATAAAATTCTTGGATTTATCTATTGCAGACGATTCGCATCAAATTTTAATCAAGGTGATAACGCTTCGTTTCTTTTTAGATTTTCTGTAAGAATTTAAAATATCGAAAGTCTATTTCTGTTTCTTAATGAATTTATCGACTGAATTTTTTGAATTCCATTATTTTGTGCTTTGATTGATGTTGCTTTCTTTTTTATCCTTAATTTCTTTATTTTTCTCTTGAAAACGATACGACACAGAATAACGTCAATATTCTCTGATTTAATCAGTATATCTCAAGCTATCTATATAAATGTCTAAAGCAGACTAAAACAGGGCGTTATGGTAAACAAATTTTGAAAACATTTTTGATTACATCTATGAATAAAGTTAATAAGACAAGGATTACTCCATCTATCTTGGAAGACATGATTGAACAAAGCAATTTAGAAATGTAAATGTACAAATCTGTTTATTTTATTGAAATCTTTTAATTTTTGATACATTGAACACATAATGATTTAAAAAAAACTGTAATTTTTAAGAATCCAAACAGATTTAATCATTTCTATCCCTTCACGATCAACAAAATTAATATAAAAAATAAACTGCTTAGTTTAGTTTCAGATGTTTTCAAAAATAAACCGCACACTTTTAGAATACCAAATTATTTCAAGAAATCACCACGCCGACATGGCGTGAATTTGAATACGTAGAAATGTAAATTTAAATACTCTTTCATTGGTAAAGGTCAAGGAATGAAATAAATATTACCTCTGTAAAAGATATTGGTACAAACTTGTAGAGTGATGTAAAATACACATAACAACTACAAATTTCAACTACAGCCAGTACTCATTTTGAAAAGGTAAATTAAGCCCAAGGAGTGATATGAAGACACGATGCCAATTAACAGGAAAATCTGTATTTTGAAAATAGAAAAATATCCTTCCAGCTACATATCAGAATCAACTTTATTATGTCTCTTTATATTTTTTAAAGCGGAAAAATTAGAATACCTTTAAACCTTTACAGCTCCTATTCCAAGGATCACAATTCATAGAAAAATTAAAATCTACTAACAATTTCCATACAGCGACATGGAAAAATATAGTAGATTGTGTCTCTGTTCAGCGAGAAATTAAATTACCTTCGAGTTATTCCAAAGATCAGTACAGAAAATTCTGAATTTTAATAAAAATACATTGAATAAATTTACAGAGCTAACTTTAAATATATCTGTTTCTTTTTACAGCAAGAAAGCAATTACTTTCGATTCTAACAGCAAATATTCCAAAAATTATTTACAGAAAATTCCGAATTCTAATGAAAATGCATAGAATAGATTTATCCAGCGAAATAACAGAGCATACTTTAATTATGTCCGTTCCTTTTTACAGCAAGAAATTCAAATTACCTTTCGAGTTTAACAGCAAATATTCCAAGAATTATTTACAAAAAATTCCGAATTCTAATAAAATGCATAGAATAAATGTATCCGAATAGGAACATGCTAGAAAGAACTGATTAGACTAACTGATAAAATAGATCAAGAGAATTCTATTTTATTTTGACTCGGGTATTTTAACAATAGTTAAACTTGTAAATATTTTACTATTCGAGTATGTATGTTTAATTTGATTTGGGTATTGTGATAAAGACTAAGGCCTCACAAGGCCCTGCACCATATTGACTGTCTCATTCTTTCAGCTTTGCATTTAGAAATTGAAGATGTATTATTCAAAGATGCTATGAACACTGTTTGAATGGAGTAATTGTGCTCTCGGATATTGATAATCATAATAATGGAATTCTTAATGTGTTCAAACATGTATAGTAGTCCGGCTTCGATATATAACTCTTAAGCGGTCACGTTTGAAGGGTGGGGGGATTTCGACATCGATGGTCGCTTGAATGGTCACGTTTGATGGGTTGAGGATTCATACATCGATATACATGCTTGAATGGTCAGGTTTAAAGGAGGGGAGGAGGGGGGGTGGGGGGCATTGCATAATTCAAAGGGTGTACTTTGTTCTTCTGAACAATTTCTAGAATTAATCATTCAGGTCAGGGGTTGCTTTACTGCCTTGCGACACCATGACAAGCATTCATGACACCGAGGAGTAGTACGTAATATATTCNCAACCAATGTCAAAGTACGGAAGTAAAACGTCAAAGTTTGGATGAAAAACGTCAAATTTTGGACGAAAAACGAAAGTATAACTTCAAAGTAAGGAAGTATAACGACAAAGTAAGGAAGTATAACGTTAAAGTAAAAAGTATAACGTCAACATAAGGAATATAACGTCAACATAAGGAAGTATAACGTCAAAGTAAGAAGTATAACGTCAACATAAAAAAGTATAACGTCAAAGAAAGGAATGTAACGTCAACATAAGAAAGTATAACGTCAAAGTAAGGAATATAACAACAAAGTGAGGTATATAACAACAAAATAGGGAAGTATAACGTCAAAGTAAGGAATATAAGGTTAAAGTAAGGGAATAAAAACTTCAAAATAAAGAAATATAATGTCAAAATAATTAAGTATACAACGTCATTTCCTTTCAAAGTTATTCAATGAAAAGGAAGAGTAGGGCGTAAAACTCCGTTTAATTTCATTTCGAGCGGAATTCTTCCTAAGAGAACAGTAGACAGAGAAGAATCCAAGCGGAACTAGTGAAAGACAATGACAAGAAACGCCTGAATAACTCTGAACGATTGTATATACGAATATCTCGTCTTACCTATAAATAATTAACAACAGAACATATTGTCAGCGACATCGATTTCTTGTCATTCTAAACTTTTATATCATTTGATTCCAACTTTTCAAATTCTCATAGAAAATTACTCCTGGCCTTCTGATTAATATTTAAATACAGAACATATTGACAGCGGCATGACATCTCTCGCAGTTTACACTCCAGAACGTTTGTGTTGAGTTTTTTAAGAATAATTGTTTGGGATTATAATAAACTATTTAAAAAAAGTAAAAAACACAATATGACACAATTTTAATGCAAAATGATAATTTTTTGGGGTTAAAATATCGTAAGGTCGAAAAAAGTGTTGGTTTGGGTTCGGATTTTTTATTACCAGAAGGACGTATTTCTTTTTATGGCCTAGGACATTGTAAAACCAACATGTTTTAATGCGAAAACACTGCAGTCGTATATGTGGGTTATACTCTGATTTGGGCTTAACTTACTCTTTTGTTAAATCGTAGGGGAACCGAGAGACGGATTTTGTTCCTTAAAAGTATGATGGATAGCTGAATTCTATCAGCTGAGATGGCTAATATTTAAACAACTTATTCTTTTAAATTAAAAATAAAACAAACTTAAATATAAAATTTATTGCCATTTATATGAACAAAAAATATTCAAAAAATTTACATATCCGTCTAATCCAATAAGATACATAAATTACTAGTCCAATACAGTAAAACAATCTAAACCGAAATAATGGTCTAAAAAGACAATAACTTTTATTTTACTTAATTTTAATCTGTAAAACAATGAACATATCTCAAAAATTATAATATCATAATATAGACAAAACATTAGAAAGACGTTTGGTCCCTGATCCTCATCGTAAAATACTTGTACGATGTTTGAAATCTGAAATTCTTTGACCCAGAGGCGGACTGAGTAGTTCGATCAACGGAATCGTTGTGGTGCGAGCCACTTTTTGAATACAAAAACATAACGTAGAATACCCTTAATCCGATGAAAAAATTGAGTATAGGATATATATATATATATATATATATACACATAGGAAACTCATTAGTCCAAAGTCCCAAAACTGCTCACTCTGCACTTGCTTTGATCCAGATCTATAATGCAGCAACTGATCAAATACAAGGCACAGTTATAATTGTAGCTTCTTTCATGTCCGATGTCCTGACGGAGTAGGGGAATCCATTGGACAAGCCGTGACACGCTGCTCCTAAAATGATAATATTGTATTCAATGAGAGACTAAAGGGAAACTACTGTGTCTTAATACAGACCACAATTTATTCAATAACGTTTCAATAACTAAAGGGAAGCTATTACGTTAACTTACAGACAACAGTTAATTTTAACGTTTTATTAACCGATGGGAACTAATGTGTTTAATTACAGACAGCAAGTAACTTCAAAGTTCCAACGACAGAATTTTTAACCTAGTCTGATATATATATATATATATCATTATATTCCTGATGACAGTGTGAGAACCACATTGAAACGTTGAAGTAATAAATATTCTAGAAGTATCTATCCATAAAATTGTCTTATTTATCTATAACCTGTGCTTCTAATATGCCTTTGAAAGATTATTAGTCTGAAAAGTTAAAGAAAAGAGGGGCAAGGGGAAACTACTGTGATTTTAATCCAGACCAAAATCAATTACTTGGTGATTAGGTGTCAAATGTTTAATTCCCTGAAATATTGTTGATGCCAATGCCAGTGCTTGTCAGGTTGGTGTAAACACTTAAACCATTCCCTCTTAGGTCATTTGAAGAAGCACTTACCATAAGAACCATTGACATTGGCTACGATGACAGCGCCAGTAAAATCAGGATAGTATTTTATAATAGGTTTTAATGATCTGCTAGCTGCTTCCTCTACTGTATACCCCATTTCTAGTAACATGACTGCATGGAAACTGTAAAATACAATTGTTTGTGGATTTGAATATAGAATATGAAAAACAATGAAAATATCAAACAGGGCAGGTTGTTAGGTTAACAAATTTCTCTCATTGCACACTACAAGGTGTTAAATATCTGAACCAGGAGCAGAAATGCAGCTCATCTCATTTCATACTTAACAGCAAGATCTGTCTTAATAAAATGTCTGTATCAGAGTTATCTATTTCGTTAGCCCAAGTAGGAGCAGAAATATAGGATGTAAAACTCCATTACCTGGGTAGAAATCTCATCATGATATCACCGTCTCCAGTTGCTGCAGCCCCGCCCACATTATTTCTAGCGTAAGCCCCAGCTCCTACAATAGGGGAGTCGCCTACTCTCCTGAAATAGAAATCATAAATTGTTAGCGTTGTTGTGGTTGTGGTTAGATAAAGATACTGGAGGGGTCAAGTGTTTTAATTCATATCAGCCAAAAAAAACTTCGATTAACTGGAAAAAAAGTCCAATAATTATATTGTCTGGAAAAGTTCATATTCCTTTCTTATAGAAACGAAATTAGTTCCAAGCAGAATCTTTTGATTATTAGTTACCTTACCCTGGAACTTTATGATTAGCACCATTCGTTGACGTTCCACCAACAATATTGTGGTCTGAGTCTACCACTAACATTCCAATCGTGTCATGGTTTTTTCTACCTATTAATTTATCTCTACGACTATTTTGGATTTTAAAATATTTTTTATCAGGTTTGTAGGGTCCACAATATTTTTTCGGATCTGGGCTAACATTCTGAAAACAAAACGAAGTTTTTAAGAAATAAAAAAACACAAACTGAACAAATATATGTATACATTAGGGCTGGCATGATATATCAGTGAATCTATGTATAGAGATATGACATGCCATGATACATGTATTATATTGTGTATCGATACTTGGCGATGCCTTTCATTCCCTAAAAGAATTGTAGATATTTATAAGTTTTTTTTTATGATACAACATTCTTTTTCACTGAAATTGTTAGAAACTTTTTATAAGACAGTGGATAACACTTCTATCAACTATATTACCAAATATCACAGTTATAAAGTTATAAATTAATATATATAGAAACTTTTTATAAGACAGTGGATACTAACTACTTCTATCAACTATATTACCAAATATCACAGTTATAAAGTTATGAATTAATATATATAGAAATTCTGAAGAGAACATGTTAATTCTTATCCCATTACCCTATATCACGATGTATCGTATCATGACCCTTGTATCACGAAACGTATCATATCGTGGCATGATTGACGATACCCAGCACTAGTATACACATTGGAGTCCCATCAAGACATTAACATAAGCAGTACAATTAAAAGCAGAAACAATCTACAGACTAAACTTACATCATTAAAAGCAATATTGGAATGTATTCAAACTTAAATTTGTGGTTTTCACCGCTAGCAATCTGACATTTTCTTTGAGAAATGTGTTCGTAGAGTTAAAATTTCATAACAAGTCCTACCTCTCTATAATTAGGTTGACAACTATTATTTTTCCAATCTTTATAAATTCCTACAGATCTGTTTGTGGCCAGACTCTCACTGGTAAAACCCATCTCTACTGCAAACTTGGTAGCTGAAACATAAACCATAAAACTACATCATTGTCCACTGCTACAATTGGGAGGTATGGTGTTTAAGGGGCTCACCCTCTGTAGCCATGCTGTATACCCAGGGCTGTGGATTTGGCTCCAGACATGACTGACAGGCTAGCTCAAATGTCTCAGGATTAAAAGGATCTGTTGGACAGAAAGTAAAGGCTAGCAGCTTTGGTGAAATTTTGGGCAATTTGTGGAGGTCATCCTAAAGTATGCTAGATTGTTCTATCAATGAAACTTTCATGTAATATCCATACCAATGGAAATAATGATCATTCAAAGTCAATAGTTGTTCACACGACAACCAACATAAGAATCCACAACCTTCATATTTTGCTCGAAGTAACCAAGCAAATGTCATCAACCCTAACACTCTACGCTACAACCTACCTGATTTTCCTACCAGTATAGTATGTTGTGTAAATTCCATCACTGCCCGTGCTACACCAATCACATTTTTTACTTGCCGCAAGTCTCCCACAGCTCCTACATCAGACGTTCGACTACAATTACAACTAGACATCTTACAGTCAACTTCCAAATATTAGTTTTCAAAATTTCACTCTATGGGTCTGACAATCAAGTGGACAAACCTTTAAGAGAGTTCACATAGCTAATAATGCTTATTTGGTATTTACTTAGTCAACTCAGGATCCATTTCAGAGGGTTCACATAGCTAACAACGTTTATGGCATTTACATTTGTCAACTCAGTATCCCTTACAGAGAGTTCACAATAATGGTGTTTATGTATGTCCACTTAGTTTAAGTTTTGTTTGCCATTTTGGTATTAAGTTTGTCCACTACGAATCCCTTTTAGAGAGTTCACATAGCAAATATTGTTGGTTTGTCGACCAATCATGCATGAGTATCATGACAAAAGTAAAAAGACAGCAACAATGACATACCCATCCATAACCATGGCATCAAGAGTGGTTTCCCCAGATTCATCGGGACTTCCTCCGAACCCCACGGTACCATCACACTGCTGTCGTTCACATTCAGTACATCCTGCCACTAGGGCATCCATTGCTGTGGTTCCTGTCTGCTTCAATACTGTCCATGCTATTAATATTGTCATAGTATTACTTAATAAAATCTATAATAGAATAACCCAACCTACTACCCCTTCAAACTATAGTATTATAATAGACTATTCCATGTATATGTTGTCATGCACTATTCTGTATACTCTCTCTCTCTTTTACATCACCCACCAAAAAACATCCCTATACTATGTGTTGTCCTTCTGCCTAACACATGGTTGCTGCAATGGTTTGATAACCACCAAAAGTTATTACAAATATCAGATTGAAATGTAATGAAAGTATGTGTCAATGAACAGGGTATATTGTTTTAATTATTTCATTTATAAATTAGCCATATTGACATTATGACTTTACGAGTTTTTGTGCTCGTCGTAAACTGAAAATGAAATTTTAGTTGATGTCAGATGATGTAGATGATATTAAGCATGCTTACCTTTGTTTGTAGCGTTGTTAAAGTTCCAGGTATTGATGACAAGAGGAAGGGTACAAGTATTTTCGATTGATACATACAATATACACAAGAAAAACGAAATGGACAGTTTACTGTGACTGGCCGTCGCCATTTTGAATGTCACATGACTATTAAGTTACCTCGATCATCCAGACAGTTACGGCGCGACGGTGATTAGTCCGAAACTATGATATATTGTCAATTAATCCGAGATTCTGTGAAATAACATTAGTAAGTTGTCGACTAGCAGTCAGCAGAAAACAAAGAATGACCTCCTTACTGGGAGATTTGTCCCGATTTTTCCAATCTACTCTACAGTCTCCTGCCTGTCACCCCACTCCCCCCCCCCTTCTTTTAGGCAAAGTTAATTGTGGCCTGTAACAGATCAATTCATTGCGACCCTAAAACACTGAAATATCGACGATTTCCAGTTTAAGATCAATCAGGGGCGCAGATCGCTTTTTCAATGCGGCGGGTACCAGTGGCGTACGTAGGATTTATTCAAAAAGGGTCGGACCGTAGGTGCGAATTCGATTGCAGAGAACAGCGGCATGAGAACGTTTCAGTTGAGCTGGTGGTGTTATTTTCACCTAGGTGATAATTCTACTTCAAGGAGTAAATAATTACAAACCTTGAATTTTCACCCAGGTGAAAATAATTTTCGATTAAATTCGCACGTCACCCGACCATAAATTGTTCGAATAATGCGCCACAGGCGCAAAATTGCGGCACTTTGATGTTCTCGGATGCCAAATTGTACCTAACTTACGTCCATTACAGACACTCTACCCAACCAAGCTTGACCATTTGTGTT